GTATGAATGTGTATATATATATCTATATATATATATGTGTGTGTGTGTGTTTATATATAAATGACACAATGTCAAATTGTCATATTTCTACGCCTTATTATATTGCTAGTACTTCTTGTAGTCAAGCGCCACATATATGTCCAATAATGATGGCACCCTTCATCTCCGGAACTCGATGTACTTGCCATGTTTTTAAGCTATCACTGAACCCGCACACGAACTCTGCAGACGCCTGACATAGAATGGATGTTCATATATGAAGAAGCCTATTTCTTGTGCACTGCGGTTCCGAAGGCGCTGAGTGATAAATTATATTACAGTTTGGAGGAGTTCTTCAGACAAACTTGCGAAGATGCGTGCAAGGTGTGTTTGTTAGTACTTGGAATACGTTCGATTGGCATGTGGTCGTGTTCACCATGCATAATTCGATATATTACTTCTCTCGCTAAGCCCGGCTTTACTCGTCTTTGGATATGTGTAACGGGCCGAACTGGGTATGCTTGTGCTATGTTTAGACGCAAAGACTACGTTGTCACCATGGGAATGGAAATTCCGAACAATCGACGGACCTCGTTGCCAGAAGTGTAGAACCGATATGTGTCTGGATATGCGAGAAAAAAAAACGATTTATCTAAGCTTTCGATACCTTTACGATTTATACCAACTTTTCGTTGTCAGGATCAAACCTTTGTATGTTGTTATTAACTTATATTCTAGTATCGTTCTTTGGTATACAAACGCGCCAATACAATATCAAGGAAACTTTGATTGGGCAAGTGAGACGTCATGCCAATGCTATTTTGTTGCTTGCATAAATATCAACCCGAGACAAAAACATGGACAAACACCCTACAATAATAAATCTTAGCTCCATACTAAATTATGTTCCTGCTAGCTTTCAAATATGTACTAGTCCAAGTAATATATCATTTAGTCTCTGTTTCAAACATTTTTAATGTGTTTTGGCGAATATCTAGATATGAAGAACTGGTACTAAATAGGTGGCGACCTTGAGGCGAAATACATCGCGCATAGGTATTATTATGTCTCACGGGGCTATCTCTATAACAGGAAATTATGGCGGGAAATCTAACGAGCGTGTACCATGCGAAGTGGCAAGTGTACTCCATCGGGTCCAACATCATCCGCTCTCAGTGTAGGTATCTGGAAAGCACGTGGATTAAGGACGAGAAGGATAAATACAGGCAACATATGTACAGGTGTGGGCATCGACTTGAGTGTAATGCCGTGTGTGTGCGTAATGTCAGACATGCTGGTCATTGCACCGGCCACTATTGGCTGTGGGAATACATATGTGGCAGCTTCTGATTACTAATTTATAGACCTTGCACGCGTGTGAAGCGTCACTTTGCATGTACGCCACCCCGGTGAAAGTGGCCAACTGGCAAGTAGTATCCCATATACGGGTGCATTTAAGTGTGTACCTGTATGCGGTAAAATCATCTGCAAACTGAATACATAAGTTGGAAGTCCGGCGCTGTTACACGCCACATTTACCAATTGGAACAGCCTTTAGTATCATGGTTGGCATATACGTACCTTGACCGGAATTAACTTGTACGATAGGTGTCCACACCTGCCACCCACTATCTGCATACTATAGCGCGCAATTCGGGTTACTTTGTACGATGAGTGGTCACACTAGCCTCCCTCTATCTGTATGTGCTCTCAGCTCACAATCCGGCTCGGATAGTCGAAGAGACTGCCCGAGTGACTTAGGTCCGCTTGCGTTCCAACAATGGAAGACATATGTATTCGAGAAAGTGCAGGAAAGGATGATCAAAGACTTGTTGCAGGTTAGTACTGCAACCGTGCATTTGTATTACAGTGTGTTGTAAGGTCGATGTCGACTGAATGAAGTAGGATGGTGTAGGTATCCGGGTTAAGGTTCAGAGCAGTCCCAAAATTTGGGTTTGGGTTACGGCCTCTCGGTATGTGTAATCAGCCAGCATGCCCTTTCACTTCGCATATGTGACAATGTGTCATGTGCAGTTGTTCTGGAATACATGAGGATAATGCATCTACCTGCACGCTTTTTTACTCTTTGTATCGCTGTAGGCTCAGACATACACAAACCACGCAGAGTTTTGAACTCTTATATGGGCTATTGTGTACAAAGATCATTTATCTAAACACATATATGTATATATATATTCATATTGTGGGTGTGAGTGTGGTTGTGTCTATACACGCAGAAGGCGACGTCTGTAAATCTGCAGATAGGTTGAGCTGTTATGTCAGGCTTTGAATATCAATATAACGTAATATTTAGCGTTACCAATCTCCGCCTGGTCGTTTGGGTTTTTTCGTGCCCTAATTCTCGGAGCGGGTGCATTTGTCGCCCACTTTGCCACACAGGACATACAGAAGGACAGAGACGGCGAGATGATCAATGCGTCGGAGGTGCAGGGCGTCATCTCCTCTCTGGTCGAATTAGACAGTACTTTCAAAGCCCCCGAGATCCGATCACGTCACGGTATGTGTGTGCTGATTACGTAACGGTATGTGTGTGACTTCCTTCGTGGTTTTTTTTTGGTTTTTTTCTTTTATTTACTATCTCTTCGCTGCAGGCTATCAACTCTCAACGTACTTCCCTGGTGGTTGTTGTTTGGTTTTTTTAAATTTTTATTAACTATCTCTTCGCTGCAGGCTATCAACAACCCGGCACTGGACAACTGTCGGTGTACCAAGAAACATTCGAGAAACAATTCTTAGCCGAGACGGCGCAGTTCTATCAGAGGGAAAGCAATGTGTACCTGTCAGAGAACAACTGCTCAGACTACATGAAGAAGGCGGAGGTATGACCAGCCATGGCACCCTCTCACGGAAGGGCCCTGGTATCTAGTTATAGAAATACTTCATGTGAGGGCTATTGTATCTATTAATAGAAACACTCATGGAAGGGCCCTTGTATCTAATTATAGAAATACTCATGTGAGGGCTATTGTATCTATTAATAGAAACACTCATATGAGGGCTATTGCATCTATCAATAGAAATACTCATGGAAGGGCGCTATCGCATCTATTAATAGAATTACTCATGTAAGGGCCCTTGTATCTAATTATAGAAATACTCACGTGAGGGCTATTGTATCTATAAATAGAAATACTCATGTAAGGGCCATTGCATCTATTAATAGAAATACTCATGTGAGGGCTATTGTATCTATCAATAGAAATACTCATGTAAGGGCTTTTGTATGTATTAATGGAAGCACTCATGTGAGGGCTATTATATCTATTAATAGAAATACTCATGTGGGGGCTATTGTATCTATTAATAGAAACATTCATGTAAGGGCCCTTGTATCTAATTATAGAAATACTCACGTGAGGGCTATTGTATCAATAAATAGAAATACTCATGTAAGGGCCCTTGTATCTAATTATAGAAATACTCACGTGAGGGCTATTGTATCAATAAATAGAAATACTCATGTAAGGGCACTTGTATCTAATTATAGAAATACTCGTGTAAGGGCCCTTGTATCTATCAATAGAAACACTCATGTGAGGGGCTATTGTATCTTTTAATAGAAATACTCATGTGAGTGCTATTGTATCTTTTAATAGAAACACTCTTGTGAGGGCTATTGTATTCATTATTGGAAATACTCATTTCGCACTCACTTGCGTTCGCCCGCTCGTTCGAGATCATATTTGCGCTTGAGAGTATACTGACGCACGTAATCACCAGCCATTGTACAAAGATGTGTGGTTATGAGTGTACGTTGTAGTCAGGTAGACATTGTACATAGTATGTGTGGTTATGCGTGTATGTTGTAGTCAGGTAGACATTGTACATAGTATGTGTGGTTATGAGTGTATGTTGTAGTCAGGTAGACATTGTACATAGTATGTGTGGTTATGAGTGTATGTTGTAGTCAGGCAGACATTGTACATACTATATCCACACATATCACACATACATCCACCCGCACATGACCCACAGACTACCCTATGTCTATCACTGCTCAGTCACACAGCCCATGGCTTAAGCCAATGCACACACCGCACACATACATCCACCCGCACATGACTCATAGACTACCCTATGCCTGTCATTCCTCTGTCACATATCTGTCACATACCTCACCGCCTTGCCTCCCCCTTATGCGTACTGACTTGGTCGACTGCAGGCGCGGCTGCAAGAGGAGGAGATCCGCGCGCGCAAACTGATACACTCCAGTTCATTTGCCAAGCACAGCCGCGAGTGCGAATACCAGTTGGTGTCTGCGCACATGGACATGCTCAAGGGCGAATGCCAGAGCTACATGAAGAACGAGGACGTGGATGGTAGGCTGGGTGCGCTTGGCTCACTTTCATGCACGTGTTTGTAGTTTATGCATGTGTTTGTAGTTCATGCATGTATTTGTAGTTTATGCATGTGTTTGTAGTTTATGCATGTGTTTGTAGTTTTTACATGTGTTTGTCGTTTATACATGTGTTTGTAGTTTATACATGTGTTTGTAGTTTATGCATGTGTTTGTAGTTTATGCACGAGTTTGTAGTTTATGCACGAGTTTGTAGTTTATTCATATGTTTGTAGTTTATGGACGTATTTGTAGTTTATGCATGAGTTTGTAGTTTATTCATGTGTTTGTAGTTTATGCATTTATTTGTAGTTTATTCATATGTTTGTAGTTTATGTATGTATTTGTAGTTTATGCATGAGTTTGTAGTTTATTCATGTGTTTGTAGTTTATGCATGTATTTGTAGTTTATGCATGTCTTTGTAGTTTATGCATGTCTTTGTAGTTTATGCATGTGTTTGTAGTTTATGTATGAGTTTGTAGTTTATTTATGTGTTTGTAGTTTATGTATATGTTTGTAGTTTATGCATGTGTTGTAGTTTAGGCATATATTTGTGTATAGTAATAGACACAATGGTGTGCTGGAGTGAGTGGCCTTTCCCATTCTAGACGACACACATGTATAGCCCATTGACCTCACATACATACCCTATACAGACCTGAGTCGCATGTACCGTCTGCTGAGGCGAGTGCCCGAGGGAGTGGATGTGCTGTTGCGCGAGTTTGAGACGTATGTCACTGCGGTGGGACGGGAGCAGATCGCAGCTATCCAGGAAATGGTATGACTTAACCTCATCTATTGTATATTGTATGACTTAACCTTATTTATTGTATATTGTATGACTTAACCTTATTTATTGTATATTATATGACTTAACCTAATTTATTGTATATTATATGACTTAACCACATTTATTATATATCATATGACCAGACAACACTCATCATGACGAAACAACACTCATCACATACACTCACTGCATATCAAACGACCAAACACCACTCATCACATACACTCTATACATACGTTAGTCTCACTATAATCAACCACCATAAACAGGTGTGTGCCAGTCCGTGTCTATGTTTGTTCACTGTCATAGGGAAGGGTGCTGTCGGCATCTACAGGCCTGCACGCAACTCTGTAGTACAGCTCACTCGGCTGCACTCACCCAGTCTCTCGCCCCATACTCACACTCAGACGACCCGTCTCCTATCAGTCTCTCGCCCCATGCACACACTCAGACGACTCGTCTCCTATCAGCCTCTCGCCCCATGCACACACTCAGACGACCCGTCTCCCATCCATCGCACAGGAACCACGCAGCTATGTGGAGTGTCTGCTAGCAGTACACGCACGCTATCACCAACTGGTGCAGAATGCCCTACAGACGGACGATGTGTTTGTGGCTGGGCTAGATAAGGCGTGCAGGAGCATTGTCAACCACACGATGGGCGCCAAGATACCGCAGGCCCCTGAGCTACTGGCCAAGTACTGTGACATGCTACTGAAACGCAGCCCGGCAAACAAGCACGTGGACGAGGCCGAGATCATGCAGAAGCTTATGAGCGTGGTATGGTTTTTGTAAGTTGGGAACGAGTATAGTACTCCCGTGAAACGAATATGTTTATGAGCGTGGTATGACCTTTGGTAAGTTCGGAAC